ATATGTGGCCCAAGTGGGAGATTTTTGGAAAATTATTTAATTTGACATGTGGACCGACATATGTAATTAACTGTGTATAAATTCTATCTTAAAGTTAAGCCCAAAATTAAAGTGATCTAATAAAGAATTAAGTAATTTGACTTTGGACATCTAAATAAAGTGTGAGCCAAACTATATGTGTAGAGATCGAATCCATTATGGTTTGTATTTGACGATGAGCCGAATACATATGGAACTATATAAAGGGTCATGGTCCACAATTCATATGTGATTTTTTCATTCTTTGTGTCATCCCATCAACACAAGAATACAAGAGAAAGCATATTGAAGAGGAAGATCCATAAACTCACAATTAGGAATCAAGAAGGAGGTTTGAGCAACCAAATTGAAGATTTAAAGATCAAGATTTAAGATTCATTATTCAAGTTAGAAATTAATGGATCAAGGTATGTTCCGCGTTAATTCAGTTTCTTGATGGTTTAACATGAAGATCTTGGCAAGTTTCTAAAGTTTAAGTTTCATTAAAAATTTCAACATGATTGTTATATATGATATATCTATGACATACCTGAAGCGTGAATATGTTCGATTCTAAAAAAAATCCCAAAAGGAAATAGAGCATACAAAGAAGACGGTCCCATGTAGGAGGCATATGATCTTGGAGAACATATAAACATAACTAATTATATAATCTCAGAAGAGGTTCAAGTGTTGGATATATTGAAAGTAGAGATCTCCCATTAAGATAGTTATTATGAAAAAGAAATAGAATCGAAAGAAAAAAGTTGTTGACAACACTTTTGTATATAGCATACTGTTTCATAATATAAAAGACGAGAGTATCAAAATAAATTCGTCAAATCATATCGATAGAAGCAATGATTGACAAAATAAATGGACGCAATCCTAACAAAATTGAATTTATTAGAGAAATTCGAAGTTTCTGAATCTACAATCCAAACACATCAAGATTCATACTTATGCGAAATGAAAATAGAAACAATAAAGTCGTAATATCTAAAGTACAACTCTTAGTATAATGAATTTCACAAAGACTTGTATAAATAGATAAATTATTATGCGGTGGATGCAATCGCAAGTCTCTTATCTTTTTAGCATAATAATGCATGTAATTTGGCATGCATATAATAAATATAATTATATCCATCTTATCTTATATGATTTTAATACTAGTTTTGAATGATTTTATGCTTGAAGTATATAATTCAAGTGATATCATCATGATAGAAGCAAATACATATTGTTTTCTTTTTCCTTGACCATTGTTTTGTCCCATTGAATTTTCCAGGTAAAGTTTTTAATGAGGCAACTTTTGTAGCTTATTCAAAAGAATAACGTACTTTTTTTTCCTTCTTTAGGGGTTTTACCACAAGATTTTCCCTAATAAAGTTTTAATGAGACATATTCTTTATATAATGATATACATAATCTATAAGACATTTACCTCAAAATAATGTTCTTATATGTTACAATTTGTGTACGACTCTCGAAGAGATCAACACACACATCATTATCAAACTGGTTGCAATCTTTTTTCGTCTGTGAAGATCCCACAAAAGCACATTCTACTTCTAATAGGCCATGAAAAAGATCGGAATCATTCTCCAATATGAGACGACATGACACACATTTCATCAGAAATTATGATAATTGAAGATATTGGCGTATAAGATATGGATGCTTGATATAAGAAATTTCATTTATTGATATCATGAGGAGCAACCGTACTCCTTTTTTCCTTCGCTCAAATTTTATTCCATTAGATTTTTTTGACAAGGTTTTAATGAGAAAATATTTTATTACTTCAAATTATTTGTACTTTTTTCATTTTTTTGAAAATTTTGCTTCATCGAGTTTTTGTCAAACAATATGTTTAATGATACAGTTATTGTATAAATAATCATTCAATGGGGGTTGTTGTAAATAAAATAGTATTTATGAATGATTATTGTATCTCTTGTAGTCCTAATTCTTTCCTATAAATATAATATTTTAGTTCTTAATAAAATACACACAAGTCTATTGACTTTCTTTACTTTTCTCATTTTCTATTTTACAACAAGGTTAAGTTAGTTAGATTTGGTTTATTGAACAAACAAAGCTAAAATGAAGGATGAAAATGGAGTTCAACCGTACAAGGCACTACCTAATAATCAAGCTCAATTGGATCATTTCTTGATTTCATAATTCTATGAAATTTTTACTGTATTTTCTAAACTTATTTAAGTACAACTTAGTAAAATTTTAGAATTTTCTAACATCATTTAAGCATGTGATCAAGTACTGAGTCACAACCCAAAAATTATTTCGGATACACGAAACACAGCACCGAAAAGGGCATAACTTATTGCCGACCTTCAAATGACTTGATTCTAAAGCCAATGGACTGATGACTCATATTGCTTTCAAACTCCATTGGTCTCATCCAAAAATTTGTAGAATTCTGTTCGGGTGATAGTATGAAAATCGGATAGAAAGCTAAAATTTCTACTTTTAAGTTTTTACAATAATAAAACTACACACCCAATCACATTTTCATGCCAAAACTTGTGCTAATATCATTTAATAAACATGAATTCATAAAGTTATATAAAATCAAATTTCATTCCCAAATAAAGTACAAACTCAAAACACGGACTAGTCTAAAATTTAAAATAACATTAAAATAAATTCTAAACATGGAAATCTTGGACTTTGATTTGATTTTCATCTCCTTGGTTTATCCACAATTCATACAATCTCCATCCATCTACGACTCTTTCCCGATTTGAAAATTTTCATAGAGTAAGAGTGAGCATAAAGCCTTGTAGAAATTATAGGTGCAATCCCCTTTAAACAAATTTGCATATTCACATATAAAATATAAAAACTTCATACTATAGACATTTTTACATAGTTGAATTAACGGTGAAATCATTGATTCCGAATAATCCCTTGGACTCGTAGAAATCCATTATGGCCATAAAACTTTAACCATCATGATTCATAACTTGCAATTACATTTATACATATAAAATCTACGTAGACATTAACAGAGAAAATCAACTTGCACTACCTACCCCGATTCTTGATAAAAAAAAGAAAAAAAGTTCTTTGCATTAAATAACCAAACTTGTAGTAACAAAATCCTTGTTTTTTCTTCTTGCAAATAAGTTAAAACTAACACAATTTGGAGAGACGAAAAGTGAAATTCAAATTTGAGGAGAAATTGGGTTAAAAAGGCAACATTCCTCTTCTTGTAACTTCCCTTTTTAGTAAAAAATAAATAAATTGGAGAGTTATGGTAATCATAAACCTTGTTAAATTGAACCTTAGAGTATGAATTTGAAGAATTTTTTTACTCTAGAAATAATTCTTATAATTTTTTTTAATAAAAATATATACAGGATGACTCAAAGTTAAGTTGTAATTTTGAGAATCATGCACATGACCATTGTGCTACAAATTAGTTATTCGTTAATTCTTTAGATTATGCCCATGTTTGACGTCCTTAAAATTTTAAAAAATATTGAATAGTAATTTTTAGAGAATGTATGGTTTAACACTAAGGAAAGTTTTGGATGTGATATGTGGTTGAAAATACGTATGAGAAATAAATTAACTTAAAGTAAATGATGTCGAAAAGGGGCTAGAATTCATTTAAACCTAAATGACTTAGATCTTTAGGCTTTTAATCCATCTATGTATTTGGGCTTTTCTTTATATGGGTCGAGCCTCTAATGCTCATTTTTTATATGGGCCAAATCGATCAAAACAAGTAAAATAATTTCGAGACCTTATAATGTTCCTGCTTAAGAGGTTGAAGTTGTTCTCGGAAAAGAGGTTCATGGTTGAGTACGGGTTCGAAGATTTTGACCATGTCCTACACTTTTTATCCCAGTATTTTACGACTAAATATTAAAATTTCCACAATAAAAATGTTGTCTTTCCTTTTTCCTCGAACCAAAGTGTTATAATCCATGTTTACTTGGGTCATTTACATGGGTTGAATCCAAAATCTAATGGGAGAATTTTCAAATTAGCCGGGTCAAATGACCCATTTGAGTTTTTTATATAAAAGTTCATTTTGCCCTTAATGAAATGGGTTTTTATTGCAAATCATGTCCTCAAACTTTATAGTTTTTAGAAACTAGTTTTATTCTTATTTTTATTCGTTCTCACTGGATGTATCTTCTAAATCTGATTT